TCCCTCATCAGTTTTGCATATAAAACTGATTGGTTTGAAAAGTTCAAACATTCATGGTTGATTAAACTTGTATTCACTGAGGTGACCGCATGAACTCATGATATTGGTAATTTGAAAGAGGCGTCCAAATCTTAGTTGTAATCATTACAGTGCACATTTTATAAAAATCTAATTTAGAGTTGGAAGAGTTTTTAGAAGATATGATCCATAGAACAAATGAAAACGAGCATGGCAGGTCATAGGGATGACGCTCTCTGGCATGAAACAAACTGCCATTGCCAGGACCCTAAGGAGTGTGTCAGGAACAATCTCTAAAATTCTGCAGTGGTACCAAAGGCACAGGAATATGACTCCAGGGCACAGCAATAGTAGCCCTAAAGAGAAAAAATCAAGAAAAGACCACCACCTGCTGCATTTACGTCATCAAAATCGCTCTAAGTCAACCAGTAGTCTAAGAGATGAATGGCTGCCTCACCTCGAAACCCGTGTTTAAGAGCTGTATACAACCAGTGATTTTTTTATATTGGATGCAAGGGCATGAGACTTTTAAAGAAACCACAGCTGACTGGTTATAACAAAGAAAGGTGCCTTCAATGGGCAGGAAAGCACCAAAATGTTGGACTTAATCTTTGGTGGCATATGACAGCATGTGATGAAATAAGATGTGTCCTCCACAAAGTTGATAATTGTGTTCGTGTCTGTCGTAGACCAGAGGAAAGAGATAATAGGGACACTTACTGATGTGGTAGTCTATGAAGGCGGCCCTATTCATGTGTGAAGCAGTACTACAGAAGTTGCACCCCCTTGGTGAATGGGGAATGGGGCATTATTTCACTTAGAAAGGTCAGATGTTCCATTCAAATCTGGTCCCGTAGGGTTGATGCTCTGATTGCAGCACAAGGAGGACACAACGCATATTATTGCTATCACTGGATATAGGACACTTCAATCTTCATGACCAGATGCTTATCTTGTTTGAGTTTTACATGACGATTTGCATCGGTGTGTTTTGAAAATGCAAAAATTCGTAGCCTACCCCTGTTTAAATAACGGTAATTTTCTAAACTTAAATGTAAATACTTTTTCTCAAAAAAATGTTGATTTGTAGATGAAATATGTGGTTATAATTTGCCTAGAAAATAAAAGTCTGAAAGGAGCCAGTGTAGTCTAGATAGGCATGTCCATCCATTTTAAGAAAATAAGTCTGACAAAGAAGATGTTAAGCCAGACAAGACCCATCACAATCTTTCTGTTTACAGCAGGTACAATATCTGAGATACTACTAAAACTATAATTCCAAACTATCGGGTGTAAGACTGAACTAAAGGACCCGTTGAGTTAAGAAAAACTACTGAAAACTTACACTTATATCCTGACGATATAAAATACCAGAATCAATAATTGAATATTTCATTTAAAATCCATTGCTTATGCCTTGGTCACATAGGCTCCGATTTTCACTACGGCGCCCGGGCGATTGAGTATTTTGTTCAAAATTGAATACAATATTGAACAAAACACTCAATCGGCCGGGCGCCGGCCGATGGATCGGAGCAAATGTGACCCAGGCATTATTAAAATTATTTATACATTAACTTTTTGTTTGACCAGCCACTATTGATTAACCATACAGTTTTGTTTTTATTATACATAGGTATACAAAGTTTGGTTGGGATGCTACTATTGAGCCACAGGCTGGCCAGGTCACAGATTTGTAAGTAAACTTAAAACATAATGATTTGTTTAAACACTGTTACATATACACTGCATGTACAAGTGAATATTATTTGTATACTATTGGTAGGTAATATTATAGTTACCTTACCAACTAAATGGGTAAAGGTTGTTCTGTTTATCATTTATGTTCAATTTGATAGATTATTATAGGTACCTGCAGGGGCGGATCTGGGATCCAACAAGGGGCGGGCCCAAATTTCAGGTCAGAGAAAAAAATTTGGGCCCCTAAAACCCAAAAGTGGGCCCAAATTTTAAAATTTTGAGGCCCATATTCTTCAAAATTTGGCCTGAAATTAAAATATAAGGCCTTAAAAGGCCCAGTTATGACCAAAAAGGCACGCTTTTTGGGGCCTTGAGGCCTTTTTTGGCCCAACATTCCCCCCCCCTAATCCGCCAGTGACCTGTTACAAAGCATTTAGACAAAAAGCGTTGTAACTAAGGATTTCTTGTCTGTGTAACACTCTTCATAAGAAAAGCTTGCAATATCTGTTCAAATATAGAAGATTACAAGAATAGGCATGTCTTCATACGTCATCTTTTTTCACAGATAACCTTTATAATCATAGGATTACACGCAGAAATAAAGACCGAACTGTTGGACTTTCTATAAAAAAGGACTGAAATGTGAATTGACATTAAACTGACATATCGGGAAGTTGTGACGATATTTTTGACTTACCCCGAACTCATCTCTATCCCTTCTAGTCCCTTATTTAACAAAACAATTTCCTTATTGGTCTACATTTTTACATATTTATTTGCAGGATACAAACCAGGATGTTTTCACTGGGTGGCTCATACAATGCGACTTTACCACTGTGAGAGGGAAGTCTAGGGATGAATATACAGAATATATCCAGAAAGCAACATTTGGTGCTAAGTTGCCATCCAAGAGAAACATTCAACTTTATCATCAATATATCAGACTGAATAAATGGAAATTAATGCCATACTGAGTTTAAGATATTTCTTAATTATACTCATCGATTTAATTAAACTATTTTTAGTGTACATAAGAAAACAGTTTCTTGATTTTCTCTTTGACTAATTTGACTATTTTTATTATTTGATTTGTATATAATAAAATTTACAAATATATATGTGTGACAGGTTAGGTGTAACACCCTGTATGGACAAGGATAGTTACATGGTTCATGAGACCACCTGTACTTTTACACATATGTATGCATTTAAGTGAACCATGCTATTTTTAGAACCACACTTACTGGGTTAGATTTTCTATTCAGTATAGGACAATTACATGTAAACCTTATTTTTGATTCTTATATTTTGTAAGTTTGTGGCTGGTTTTATAACCCTGCATTAGCAGTGATTTCTATTTTTCAAACTGACCTCAGTCCACTGGCTGAGCTTCAACTGGAAACACCTCTGTGTATAGGTAAATACAATTTTGTATTTTTCCCAATTTATTCAGTCAAGTTGTACTTTCTACCAGTTTATCCTATACTATCATTATAGAAGAATGTCATTTTCTTTTTATATCATATTTTCTGGTAAGGTAATATTTCATATCCCTAGACTACAACTTTTGTAAACCAGTTTTGTAAATTAGAATACGGGTCACGCCCAATTTTGTAATGCTTATGTGGCTTACTTTTACAACTTACTTTTACTGTCCTGTTAATTGCAGACACACTGTGTAAGTGCTCATGTACACCACACTCAGCCAGGGTCTCACACCACTTCAAAAGTCCTAAGGACTATTTGTAAGTTTATATCATTTTTGTGTCAGCCATTTTGTATTTTAAGGTGCAGCCATTTTGTAAAATGATTTTATATTTTCACCAGAGCTCGAATACACGTAATCTTATGTCACACTTTAATGGTTCTAATTATTATGTTGTATTGGTGAATATTATTAATTCTTTCATGTTTGTTCATTTGACAACATGGTACATTGCTGCACTTTTGTTACTTCTAATTTTAGTACTGGAGATTGGATGTTTTCTTACATTGAGGTTGCAGTTAGTCTCCATTAGACTAGTCATTAGGGTATGCATATCTCTTAAAATATATTATTGTATTATTTGTGTAAAGTACATGAAACTGTGTGTTTGGTTTAGTCTAAGGGAATCACATATGAAATGTAATAGTATTCATATAATAATATTTGTATTTTATGGTCTCAACATTACGAAATATTGGTTCCTATTTTTAATGCATATTATTTTGTATAATTGCAGACTTCTACTTCTACTACTTGTTCTTCTTGTTGCCTGTTAACATCCTGTGATACCTGATGTTACAACTAAGACTGTAAAGAATAAAGATATCATATGACTGAACTTGTGTGTGTAGTTTTTATTGCCGTTACCCACGTGCCCCCCATTCGCCCAGCTCACAATGGTGTCAGATGTGTTTGCGGCAGCATCAACCTACAACCTACAACCACTTGCAAGCTACAACGTACCACTAGCCAGTATACAGGTTTAAAACCACAACAAATGAATGTGTATAATATAAGTAGTGTTAGTATTGAGCCATTAATGCTTGATAAAGTGACAGTCAGATAGTCACTATAGATTCAGATTCAGATAATTTAGGTAGTTCTATAAGTATCAAATATGCTCTAAAAGCAAGCGTATTTTCCAGTTCATTTATTTACAAAGGTGAACTTATGCAATTGAATCTGATGCCCATATGCAGATATATTTTGTGTTGGTAGAACTCATGCATATTATGTTGATAATGGCTGAAGAATAAATGCCATCTATAGTGGAGTGTGTATTATTAAATCAATTACTGTTCAAGTGTCGCATAAAGTGACAGTCACATAATGCCATCTATAGTGTAGAGTGTATTATTAAACCAATTGCTGTTCAAGCGTCACATAAAGTGACAGTCACATAAAGTGACAATCAATGTACATATAGTAGACTATGTCTTCATAGAATTATCAGGTTTCTAAACTTAATTAAGGTTTAGGGTTTATTGTTGCTATATTGCTACTGTGTTGTCATTAAAGAAGGTATTATTATCCTAACTTACAAAATCTGTTAGGGTACAGGTATTATTATCCTAACTTACAAAATCTGTTAGGGTACAATCCTACACATAACTACCTTAATAAATATTAGTGTTTGTTTATATCTATAAGGTATTATCCTAGCAAAAGCTTTTTGATAGGGTACATATATACTTATATAATTACACAATATTGGCCGAGAATAACCTATACGGATACAAATTACCACATGGTGTTGTGCAAAAATGCACATTTAAGGGTATTCTATAAGTGTACATATTACAACACGGTGTTGTGCAAAAACTCACGTTACTAGGGTAGTCTATAAGTGTTTGTTAGTGTACATATTATCACACGGTGTTGTGCAAAAACGCACATCATAAGGGTACCATAAAGGTGTATATATTACTACATAGTGCTGTGCAACAACGCACGTTATTAAGGTGTCACATATTCGTACCTATTGCTACACGGCGTGGTGCTATAACGCACAATCTTATATCACGGTAGTGTGCTAAAACGCACATTGTATTATCACATATTTGTTACATGCTAGTGTTATACTAGTATATAAGATTACACGGTGGTATACCATAACGCACATCTTTATTAGATCACAAGGGTATTTGACAATAAGATTTTTTACATAGTGTTGAGTTGGATATCCACTCAGTATTAACACAAGATGGCGCACTACATGTCTCATGAAGAGTTGGAACAACAGTCTAGGACAGCTGAGGAACTTATAGATAAAATGTCTGAAGTACTACATGTAAATAACTCATTGAGATTTACTGATGAGGACATCAATAATGGTGTAACCAAGCGTCACTTAAAGGAAACAGAAAACAAACGTCTCAGGGAGAGTCTTGGCGATATCGAACGTGAAAACCAGAAGTTGTTGGCCTCCATTGATGACGTATATGCAGAATATGAAACCAGAAAATCCGAGCTGGAGCGCCTTATCAAAGAGAAAGAACAAGAACATACACAAAGGAAACAACACTATGCCAACTTATTGAATAGGGATCGAGATACAATATATGGAAATACAACTGAGAAACTTAAGCAACCAACAGGAATATCTGCAAATGCCACCCTCTTAGACATATCACGAGTCAGAAAAAACAATGATGTCCTTCCTACAGTTGGAAATTTCAATACATCCACTCCAACAACCAAACCAGTTGCACCTGTGAAACAATACTACAAAGAGCCAAAGATCAACAAATTCATTGGAAAAGAACAAAATATATATGACTGGGTAGATGATTGTAAACGGGCCTTGAAGAAGATTCCTGAAGAAGACCAGTATGATTATCTACTCTCACACTTAGAAGGAATGCCTCGGAAAGAAGCTAAGCTTCTTGGTGAAATAGCAAAGCCTGATGAGATATTCACCACCCTTCAAAGAGTTTATGGCAGTAGACAGACTAAACATTCTGCTCTTCAACTATTCCTCAACACAAAGCAGAACAAGGATGAGAACATAAAAGCCTACAGTCAAAGACTAATGACACAGCTGGAACTGCTGCAGAACTCCCACGACGAGTTTTTGTGTATTGACAACACAGATAGACTTATCAAAACTCAGTTTGCCAATGGAGTTTCATCAGAAGTGATGCGTCTAATGTTGTATGATAAACTTAAACAACAACCTGCTATATCATTCACAACTCTACGCGAAGAGGCATTCATAATGGAGGAGAAGCATGATAGGCAGTCCACTACTACTACAGATACATCAATTAGGGATATTATACAAGACCAAGTAAGGAAAACTCTACAAACTTCAAACTGTACCACTGCTGACTCAGCGCCTACTAGTATAACATCTGATCGTACTTTGTTGAAAGAATTAGTGAAGGAGGAAATCCAAAAGGAATTTCAGAAGGATGTTATGACAAATTACATCTCCCAGAAGCAAGGTTACAATCATCCAGAACATGGACCAGGATACTTTGATACAGACCCCCATGGCTACAGTAACAGAGGAGACTTCAGTAATAGAGGAGGCTTCAGTACCAGAGGAGGCTACAATAACAGAGGAGGCTACAGTAACAGAGGAGGCTACAGTAACAGAGGAGGCTACAGTAACAGAGGAGGCTTCAGTAACAGAGGAGGTTCCAGTAACCAAGGAGGTTTCAATGATAGAGGATACTTCAGTGATAGTAGAGGGTTCAACAATCATGATGATACTCGCAACAACTATGACCAGAATAGGATCTATACAAATCAGCATTTTCCCCATAGAGACTTTGCTCAGAGAGGCTATGGTGACACAAGGGGTAGAGGTACATCACATGGAAACAGAACATATCCAGGTGGAAATGTTACAACTCGTTATCAGCAAAGAGATCAAGGTTATCAAGACTACCCTCAGAATAATGGAAATTCTGGTAACTGGAGGAACAGCAACCAAGAAAATACTTCCTCAAATGTTCAAAAAAACTAGCAAGTTCTCTGGACAGTGGCACCAGAGATGAAAGCTTAAAAGACCACAGTGTACAGAATAATGCAACCAATGTAAATCCTCATGAAATTCCTATTAAGACCAGTACAAGTAATGATAAAAACACACATATCAAGAATGTAGACATGAACAAATTAATAGGAGAAAGTCCAACAAGAGAAATAATGATTGACAATATTCCAGTCAATGTAACAATTGACAGTGGCAGTACTGTGACTTTGATGTCCAAGGAATTTTTCAATGAACACTTTTCTCATAAAACTTTACAACGTGACAAGTGGTGTAGAATAAGAGCTGCAAACAACCTGTTAATTCCTTATGATGGTTTTATGGTAGCAGATGTACAAATTGAAAATCAACTAATTAATGATGTTGGAATTATTATCCATGGACAGGATGGTGCCAAGCCCGATTGTCTAATTGGATGTAATATCTTACAACATGTGCAGCTGTACAGACTCCCAAAATCGGAAGAAAAACAGTCCGAAACCAGAACACAGAATGTGAGAGTTGACAAAGAAGTATTTATTCCTCCAGGAACATGTCTTCATGTACAAGTGAATACAGGACATTTTAGTGATGTAGGAATTGTCGAACCCACAGATAAACCATTACCTGGCAACGTACAAATAACACCTGGCGTTATAGATGGTACACACGATGAGAAATGGGTCAAAGTTGCTAACATTTCCAAGGTTGGAGTAAAACTGAACCAGCGAACTCCAATTGGGAAAATTGAAAGCTCCAAAGAAACTTGCAGCCCATATTCAGTCCATTATTCCCAGGCAGAAAATTGTTTCGAACTTACACACCAGGAAACAGAAAATACTTCAGAAAAGTTCATAAAACTGGTGGATGAAAGACTAGCTGAATTCCCTGGAACTGATGCTGAGAGAGAAATCGCAAGAGAAATGTTCTACAGAAACCAGTCTGTATTTGCCCAAGATGATGAAGACTTTGGACACACAGATGCAGTAGAACATGAGATACATTTAATCAATCCTAGTAAACAGGTCAAACAGCCATATAGGAGAATACCACCTCATTTGTGCCAAGAAGTAAAAGAGCATATACAGAAACTACTGGATAAGAAGATCATTCAACCCAGCAATAGTCCGTTCGCAAGTCCTATCGTGTTGGTTAGAAAAAAGAATGGAAGTCTTCGCCTTTGTGTCGATTATCGACAATTGAACAACAACACGATAAAAGACAGTTATCCACTTCCACGTATAGAAGAATCGATGGATGCTCTCATAGATGCCAAGATATTTTCCACCTGCGATTTAGATAATGCTTACCACCAGGTCAAGGTAGCTGAGAATGATGTGCCTAAGACTGCCTTCACGACACCGTTTGGATTATATGAATATCCAAGAATGGCATTTGGTTTGACAAATAGCCCTGCTACTTACCAAAGATTGATGCAAACAGTCTTCAAAAATGAAATTTTCAAAAGCATACTAGTATATTTAGATGACATCATCTGTTACTCTAGCAGTGTTCATGATCATATTACCAAGCTGGAGAATGTTTTCAAAATATTGAGACAAAATTCCTTGAAGCTGAAATGGGAGAAATGCAATTTCTTCAAGACTGAGGTCACTTACTTAGGCCATATGATATCAAAGGATGGGATTAGACCAGATGACACAAGAATAGAAGTACTGAAGAACTGGCCCGTTCCGGAAACAGTTAAAGATCTCCGTAGATTCCTTGGTCACACAAGCTACTCAAGACGATTTGTGAAAGACTTCGCCAAGATTGTCCGTCCGTTACATGAAATCCTTAACAGGAATGGTAAAGTTGGCAAAAGGAAATCCAAAAGTGTATCCATCAAGGAATTGTGGGACACAAAATGTCAGAGTGCATTCAACATTTTGAAAGATAAAATCATTAATGCACCCATACTGGCTTTTGCTGACTTCAAAAAGCCTTACATCCTAGAAGTAGATAGCAGTCATGTTGGCATTGGAGCAGTACTCTATCAGATGCAACAAGGAACCAAGCGAATCATAGCATGCGCAAGCAGATCTCTAAGGAAAGCCGAGAAGAACCAAAGAAATTATTCTAGCATGAAGCTCGAGCTTCTTGGACTGAAATGGGCCATGACAGAAAAGTTTCGTGATTATCTCCTTGGATCTTTTGTTACTGTTTATACAGACAACAATCCCCTTACACATATCATGACTGTGAAAAAGCTCCCAGCAGTGGAACAAAGGTGGGTTTCAGAATTGGCTGCATTCAATTTTGAATTGAAATACAAGGCTGGTGTCATGAATAAGTCAGCAGATGCATTGTCAAGACTGAGAAACAACCCTACAGAAGAGGATAGGGATGAAGATTTCCTAACAAGTGCAATGCAAGTCACAATAGAAAGATGCACAGATACTACATATATTCCATCCGAACTCAAAGAAGCTGGCTTAATCCCAAATCTAGTTGACCCAGTTGTTGATGCATGTGCTGCACAAACACCATGTCCAGTCTTAACTGTAGTTGACAGTGGTGAATCTATTTCTGGCAAACATAGTGCTGAGGAAGATGTTTCAACCACGGGTAGTTTTACGCCATTCCCTACAATAACTGAATCTGGTTTTGGTGAACTACAAGATCAAGATGAAGAAATCAAAGTTATCAAAAAACTTGTGAGGAAGAAAAAGATGCCAAGTTCAGCTATGAAAAATCAGCTTTCAAAAGACCAGAAAAGCTTACTAAAACATTTCAGTCGACTAAGCTTGAAAAAAGGAATACTGATAAGAACCATAAAAAACAGTAATCAGTCTCCTATAACCCAAGTTGTAACGCCAAAATGTATACGAGAGAAAGTCCTGAGAGAAACACATGAAAATAGTGGACATCAAGGTTGCGAAAGAACATTTAGATTGATTGAAAATAAATACTTTTGGCCAAACATACAAAATGACATCAAAGAATGGATCAGGTCATGTGATCGCTGTGTTCATGGGAAGGTGCCATACAAGAACATTTACACATCAATGGGTAGACTTATGGCAAAACAACCCAATGAATTACTATGTACCGACTACACTCTATTGGACAAGGCATCGAATGGCATGGAGAATGTATTGATCTGTACTGATGTTTTTACAAAGTACACATTGGCGATACCTACAAGAGACCAAAAAGCTGTAACAACTGCAAAAGCCCTTGTTAAAAACTGGTTTAACCATTATGGGATACCATCACGCATCCACTCTGACCAGGGCAGGAATTTTGAAAGTAAAATTGTCAGTGAACTCTGCAAAATATACTCTATTGACAAATCCCGAACAACACCTTATCACCCTGAAGGCAATGGCCAAGCAGAAAGATTTAACAGGACGTTACATAATCTTTTGAAAACTTTGTCAGCTGAACAGAAACTCAAGTGGCCAGAATATATAGATGCCGTAGTCGCAAGGTACAACTGCACGCCACATTCATCTACTGGATACAGTCCTTTCTTTTTAATGTTTGGACGTAACCCAAAGCTACCATTGGATATTATCTCTGGAACTGAGGGCATTGATGAAGATGAAGGTGAAGGTGATACAGTCGGAACCAGTAGTTGGATTAATAAACACAGGGACCACTTGAAACAGTCTTACAGATTGGCGTCACAAAAGATACACAAAGAAGCAGACAGGAGACAAAAGCTCCATGATACACATGCATATGAAAGTGATGAAATCCACTGCAATGATAAAGTCATTGTGAAACAGCATCCTCAAGGAAGAAATAAGATCCAAGATGGGTATGGTGATGAGGTTCATATTGTGAAAGACATTAAGGATTCCAAAACATTTGTTCTTCAATCAGAGAGTGGTCTGCTGAAAACTGTGCATAGAAGAGAGATCAAAAAGTTACCAGAGTACTTGCGGAAGATGGATACTATTGAAGAAGTTAGGGAGTTTGTTCCGAGACGTTCGCAAAGGTTGGCGAACAAAAGCTAAACGGTTCAAGTATTCTGTTAGATTGTTATTATGAATAACAATTTGTTCTGCTGAGTACTATAAGTAATGCTATTTCGTTATGTACATTTGCTTATGTCATACTTATGACCAACAATTTAATACACGCCGCGTCTGTGGTTCTTCCTTTAAATTATTTTATGGTCGTGGTTGTAGGGGAGGTATAATTCCATACATTATATTTACAAGTAACAACTACACTTGCCTTGCAGTGTTTAAATTTCATATTTATGAGGTATAGCGGATTTTATATTTCGTATGAGCTACATGTATCATTATGTAAAGCATTGTATTTTGTATTTCTATACCTGCTACTATTAGTGTGCAGATGATTGTATATTGTATTTTGTAAGTAACAGTCAGTCATGTTATATCAGTCAGTGTTTCAATTGTATTCTTTAATGCGGGACGCATTACCACGATGTGGGCGTGGATGTGACAGGTTAGGTGTAACACCCTGTATGGACAAGGATAGTTACATGGTTCATGAGACCACCTGTACTTTTACACATATGTATGCATTTGAGTGAACCATGCTATTTTTAGAACCACACTTACTGGGTTAGATTTTCTATTCAGTATAGGACAATTACATGTAAACCTTATTTTTGATTCTTATATTTTGTAAGTTTGTGGCTGGTTTTATAACCCTGCATTAGCAGTGATTTCTATTTTTCAAACTGACCTCAGTCCACTGGCTGAGCTTCAACTGGAAACACCTCTGTGTATAGGTAAATACAATTTTGTATTTTTCCCAATTTATTCAGTCAAGTTGTACTTTCTACCAGTTTATCCTATACTATCATTATAGAAGAATGTCATTTTCTTTTTATATCATATTTTCTGGTAAGGTAATATTTCATATCCCTAGACTACAACTTTTGTAAACCAGTTTTGTAAATTAGAATACGGGTCACGCCCAATTTTGTAATGCTTATGTGGCTTACTTTTACAACTTACTTTTACTGTCCTGTTAATTGCAGACACACTGTGTAAGTGCTCATGTACACCACACTCAGCCAGGGTCTCACACCACTTCAAAAGTCCTAAGGACTATTTGTAAGTTTATATCATTTTTGTGTCAGCCATTTTGTATTTTAAGGTGCAGCCATTTTGTAAAATGATTTTATATTTTCACCAGAGCTCGAATACACGTAATCTTATGTCACACTTTAATGGTTCTAATTATTATGTTGTATTGGTGAATATTATTAATTCTTTCATGTTTGTTCATTTGACAACATGGTACATTGCTGCACTTTTGTTACTTCTAATTTTAGTACTGGAGATTGGATGTTTTCTTACATTGAGGTTGCAGTTAGTCTCCATTAGACTAGTCATTAGGGTATGCATATCTCTTAAAATATATTATTGTATTATTTGTGTAAAGTACATGAAACTGTGTGTTTGGTTTAGTCTAAGGGAATCACATATGAAATGTAATAGTATTCATATAATAATATTTGTATTTTATGGTCTCAACATTACGAAATATTGGTTCCTATTTTTAATGCATATTATTTTGTATAATTGCAGACTTCTACTTCTACTACTTGTTCTTCTTGTTGCCTGTTAACATCCTGTGATACCTGATGTTACAACTAAGACTGTAAAGAATAAAGATATCATATGACTGAACTTGTGTGTGTAGTTTTTATTGCCGTTACCCACGTGCCCCCCATTCGCCCAGCTCACATATGTAAATGTATATATTATGTATATAATAAAACCAACAAACAGTATTCTTTTGTTCAATTCGTAACTAGCATGTCCATGAGGACTATCACAGTTATCACTTCTTGGCTCAAGTACAGACATCCAGTCGTCAGAGGATAAAATTATTCTAGATATATACAATTTCTAGACCTTTGTATCATATAGTTATCATGTCCTACCACTATGACAAGTTTCATCAATGTGTACCAATTTGATGCTATGGTAACAGAAATCACTTGTTAAAAAGTGCACATTAAGGAGGTACTATGAAAACCATGTATAAGTCCTAGAATATTCAATCTAATATCTTGCTATTTACAGGTATACATCTGCTTATCATGTCCTACCAGTACTTTTTGATAAATGATTTCTGTTTCCATAGCTTCCAATTGGTACACATTGATGAAACTTGTCATAGTGGTAGGACATGATAACTAGATGATTACCTGTAAATATAAAGACGATTGGCTGTATATTCTTTGAATTATAGATGGATTTCATTGTATCCCCCTTTAAATCATACCAGGGGGTATAAATCTGCATACCATAGTAACCAGTAGACCAACAGTGATGAAACTTTCCATGATAGCCAAACATAATAATTTAAACAATATCTTCGAATATCAGGACAAATGGTCATTAATTTTTTTCAAAAGTTTGAACACAAATAATGTTTTTTTGTAAAAGTGCAACGCCCCTTTCTAAATTTCTTTGCATAGCCATATAATTATCAGCAAATATAATTCACTGTGTGGCTACGATAAAACATTATTTGATTTAATGTTACCAAACATACTCTGAATAAGTTTTCTAAAATGTTTTCATGGTGACTTCTCCCAAATTTATGAAAATAATATGTGTTTTGTCTCAGGGGTCGTCTTAGATTTTTACGAAAATATGTACTTTTTAATATATGATCTCCGTTACCATAGCAACCAGTTGACCAACTTTGATGAAACTTGTCATAATGGTAGAAAATGGTAGAAAATGGTAAGTAGATGATTACCTGTAAATATCAAGATGATTGGTTGTATATTCTAAGAATTATACATGGCTTTCCTATTACCCCCCTTTAAATCACACCGGGGGGGGGGGGTAAAAATCTGCATATTTCAAAAACGCTGAAAAACTGGACACCAATATTTTCAGAATCAATGTAAAATGATAAACCACAAATAACCTACATAAAGAGAAATTTGGCATTTTTCAAAACCACTTTTACACCATGCTCATTCAGTAAAATAGCTTAGAGCACCTTCCAACCTGAACACTTGGCTGGTTCAAATAATATATACCAATTTAAAGATTTTACCCTGTTGCAAACCTGAGCATGCATATATTTTGTATTTTGATTAACCCACATATTTTAGTACTTCATGCTTTCATTGATACATAGTAATAGAAAATAATGCACCAACCTCAGCTTTCTGTCCCATCGTAGCAATTTTATTGGATAAATCAGTGAACGTAGCTGTCCAACCTCGTTTCCAGATGTGGCGTAACCTTTAGGGGTATAACAGCGTGAATCTACCATACGCGCACGAAGACGAATGTCTCTCTAAAGAAGCGAAGACAAGTCGAACGAATGCAAAGGGTAGCATAAAACATATTTCTAACTATTCCAACAAATATTTCATAATTCAAGATCAACGGAACAAAATGAAAATTATCAGCTCAGTTAATTCTTCGCTAGTAACAAATGGATTAAATATAAAGATTCGTCATTATTGAACATTATAATTATTCCATCTTTTGGTATGCTACACATGGTTCATCTCTGTAATATTTTCAAATATTTTTTTAATGATTCTGGGTTATTTTTATGGCCGACCCGGTATATTATACACGAGGGGAAAGAGTACCCGTGTATATACAACCTACCGCCGAGCAAGACACGCATATACCGCCGAGCAAATGTTTGATAATGTCATCTCGTAGGAAAATGGACAAATAAAGGTAATATAATGTCACTAACAATTCCTTTGGATGGTTAGAATTGTTACTAAGATGTTCTAGCAGGCGCAATTCGCCTAGAATTATAGTTGAAATATATTTTTATGTCCAAATTAAGAGATAAGGTAAACGTATAATGGGTTTCGATTTGTTTTTCTCATTCATACTCGCTTTAATTGATAATGAGCCATACATAAGACATACTTGGGTCGGTAAATGGATGTGCATATGCATAACATATTAAGTGTCAAAATATTAGGTCAAAATAGCACTTTTGAACAGCAAAATCTTCACTTAAACTTTGTCCTAAAAGATCCGATGTTATCGGACATCGGACCCGATGTGATCGACGAGTAATATTATAAAGATCCGAAAATATCTTGAGTAAAGGATCTCAGAATCCGAACATTACTTAAGTAAAATCTGTTGAGATTCGATTATATCGTCGAGTTTATGACGTGCTGATGAAAAAATAATAAACATACAATCTGCATCATTCATGTGAATCATTTTGTTGTGAACAATAAATGAAACTGAAAAAAATATGGCTATCACCAGTTACCACTGCACATCGAAACATTGTATTTCAGGTCCTCGGTACAAATGCTTCCACTGTAGTTATAAATCACACGAGATGGATGACTTTGTGGTCCACTTCAGTCAGCACCATCCATTACTGAGTATTAAAGTTAATGTGCCTGAGTTAAATGGCAAGAAATGGATTTACAATGTTTTTGACTATGGTATTGTATTATCAAAGAAAGATCACGGTAATTTGCGTTTCGAGGATATGAAGCGTGTGAAGCTTGGGATTCTTCAAGTTTTGTTCTTTGAGTAGAATGGCGCTTGCAATGCAGAATTAAATGTTTTTGGGTTGCACACTTACCATAGACACATAGGAAATTATGGTGATTCAAGTGTAAGCATGAATTCAATGTTTTAAGAACTTTGTCGGAAACAGACGTTGACGTATAGTGCTGCGGGAATTATATCATATTATATTATATCCCGGTGCCAGGAGTTTATGATAAATAAAAAGGGATATTTGTGATATCGTCATGATATTATATGCTCATTCGAAAGCTTACTCACTACCTCATCGGGTTCTACTCACGGTATAGTCGGAATAGCTCGGTGGTAGATTCGGGTCCTATATAATCGTACTCGTGACATAATCGGGTCTTTCATTTTCAACTTTCACCGGTGATTTCAATGATATGCAACGTATGGCAGTGAAATAAATATGATACATTTACACCTATTGTATCTTTGAATCGAATGAAGTAAAGACAGCCATGGTTGTTACTTATTCAAGATGTAAATCATCATTCAAATATTTAAAAGTTGAATTTAGCGATTGGATAGTAAACATTGCGCTAAGTACTCATTATTTTGCAAACATGAGTGCCTGGAACAATAACTTTATCAGTTGCACACATTTCTGTTTTTTATCTGTTTCTCATATTGAGAAATTCAAGATATAAACAAAAGTTTATAACTCACCCCCTACATTTTCAGACATCTTCGGGTCTTTGCTCGGCGGTAGGTTGTATATACACGGGTACTCTTTCCCCTCGTGTTATATATTCTAATTAATCTCTACTAATGTACATGTATACTCTTTGAATAGGTCTTTATTTGAATGGTTTGATCCAAATGGCCATAATGGTATGCCAAGTGATACCAGAGCAGTAGTTATGAGTATTTTCCTCCAAGAAAAAATCTCCAGGATTATAAAATTTTCATTTCAATTTTCCAATACCATCGTTTAGGACCATACCTCAAAGCATTTTCTCTAAATAAAGGATTTCTTTATGGTAATACTGTTTTTATTTTCCAAGTTTGGTATTGACAAATCCTAAATCGATTTGGAAGCAATATTTATCACATCGAGGATGGACACCCGCATTGAATGTTTTAAATCCATAACTCCAAAGTTGTTTTGCAATCGAATATTTTGTAGGATAGTCATATTTCTGATCTCCAAATATGTGCCATTCACCCACATACTGCCGCATTTGTTTTATTGTACCATCGTCTATCATTGACGAGATGACGTCAAATTCGTAGCCTTCTATATCCATTTTAAGCACATCTATCTGGAAAACATATAGCATAAATGTACTTGCTAAGGGCCAGGACCATTAAAAAGTTATTAGGGTGATGCACATACGATCATAATGACCCAAAATGCAGCTGTATCGGCCGTTCACCTTAACATTTTTAAAGATGCAAAACTTGTGTCAATATCTGATTAGGTTTTGGGCGTACTGGGTAAATTACATTGTTGCCATTTCTCGCATCGCATCAAAGTGCAATATTTATCACTGTGTGTCTTGTTCAATCAAGATCAAAAGGTTGGAAAGGATTCTTCCGTTTAAGAGTAGAACTATCTCAGTATTGTTCTACAGGGTGCGACATAAAATGCTACCCTCTAATTTTGGGAATAAGTTTCTCAATAAGGGCGGAATCTTCGTGAAAAACAGAAATTGTAGATTTCTTTTCTTGTCTATGTTTCAAGTTTCACACTTCTGAACAAAGCCCGGATGACAAATCAAAGCCCGGATTTTAATGACGTCATATTTTGGAAGTTTGTTCTTGCTCCCTTGATATCAGTCGATTCTCTCGATCTACATGTACTTCAAATCAACTTTAATTTCATTCATAAATAATGACAAGCTGAAGATAAATTACTAAAATGAATTAACTAGGCTATGGTTTCTAATCGTTCGGAATATTGTTCGGTATTTCAGCAGAATTTTATTTAAAATGACCTCAAAAACATTTTACAGCTCTCCTCCCTTTTCATCATCTGAAGAACTCGAGGGTTTATACTTACCTTGTAGGGTCTCTAGTTTTTTCTTTCGATTTTTTTTCACAGAATGAATTTACTTGTTAGAAGATCCAATTAAATCTTCAAACAGTTAAGGAAAATGATTCTTGGCAAGGTACTGTATTTTCCAACAACGGATTATCAAAACATACATCTACAGAAATTTTATTTTATGTAATAAAATATTATTTGAACATGTCTTTGACCTTCATTCATAATGGGTAACACTGCAAGCTTGCACATACCATTTTATTAGTGTGTCCTAGCATTTCCATAATAGACTTCATCGTTCGCACTTTCCATGTAAAAAGCTTGGATTCCTTGACATATTGATCCACACGTGGAGTAAAGTTATCGGAATCAACTCTGCCTAACCCAATGTTATAGAACCATAGGTTCTCCATTCGTTTGTGACTTTCAGTATTCATACTGTGAACAAAGAAGTGAAAAGTGGAACAGTGAAATTGTGGTTTCATTCGTTTAGGATAACATTCTAATAACGTTAGAAGATTTTCGAACAGTGGTCGATTTTTTTCGTGGTCAATCTACCCACATAATAGGTCGGTTGGAAAATGTTTTTTTACACATTTCCTTTGATCATTTTCTCACCTGACGTCTAAGAGTGTCGATCATTTTTATGAAAATATGTTTCTTTAAACTACACAATTAAGGTATGTTGAAGATTTAATAAGTATTAACGTTTTGGCTATAATTTAAAGAATCATAAGTGTACGTTTTCAACTCGAATGGACGTTGTCCCATTGGACCTACTCAATTCAAAGTTAACCCTAATGCAGGCAACGTATTTTTCATAACACTAACAGGCAGGGGAGAGGTCAGATGCATTTAAAATTGAAACTGAACAATAACAGTACAACTTCAATTTGATTGAACTTTTGAAACTATCGAGCGCTTTCCAGATATATAATAAACGGGGGTTTTAAAAAGTCGTATTGATAAGCTAGTATAGATCTATCTATCAGTGTAACTTAACAAAACGTAAGATACAGATGCCATATAATCAAAGAGGCTGTAAGCTAACACCCAATGGTCACATATCAACCACCAAATTAACCACCACCACAACAATACAATATAAAGAAAAAGTACCCAAAAAAGAGGTCAAAATCACATTTATCGTATCTTTAAAATTCTCTGTACAAAGGATACTTGAACATGTTCGTTAAAGATTACTTGTTACTCATAAAAACCTTAATGCATTTTGAAATGAAATCATTACATCGTTTAATATTATATCTCTTATATTTCAATTACAGGGACAACGTACAGTGGAGTTGAAAACGCACATTTCTGATTTTTTATTTACAAAAAATACATGAATATTTATTAATCTTCACCCGACCTAAGTTGTGCAGTTTAGAGTAACATATTCTCATAAAAATATTCGATTCTCTTAGACGACAGGCGAGGAAATGATCAAAGGAAATGGGTAAAAACAACACTGTTCGAATATCTGTTAACGTTACTAAAAAGTTAAATGTTTTCCCAAACGAATACGCACAAAATGAAACATGAAATCCTTTATGTATTGCCCAGATAATTTTTTAAAACTTACATCAAATCTGAGTCATTGTCTTTGCTTCAAATCGGTTAATAGTGACAACTTACATCTAAAGGGTACGACGGCGTATTTTGTCACTGTACGTTGTCGATGGTTATGCGTGAGAACGGGAGATTTGCAATTTCACGTTGGTGTCAACGGAAATCATTATACTATGCCTATTGAATACAATGCTGGTAATTTTGATTTCGATGCATAATGCTTTCAAAAGTAAATGATGTTTTAGCTTTAAATATCTTACGAAACGCGCTCGCGATCGTTTGAAATATGTATCGTAGAAAACCGGCTATATAACTATCAATAGCATATTACACGATGATGTGTAGTCTAAGTAACGGACTAAGTCAACACTGTAACTGAACGTTTATTTATATGAGAAAACTACATGGATTTGTATAGGGCGATTTATACGTACAGGTTGACGTTTCGATTTTATATGCATTGCTTAAAGTCTCCACTGAACGAGAAACTGGGCCTAAGCATGAGAGAAGAGAGCCTTAGCATGAATGTAATAGTACCAAGCATGTGTGTAGTAGGCGTTAGCATAGGTGAAATAGGACTTAGCATGAGTGAAGTAGACGTTAACATGAATAAAATAGCACCAAGCATGGGTGAAGTAGGCATCAGCATAAGTGAAATATGACTTAACATGATTGTAAGCATGAGAGAAGAGAGCCTTAGCATGAATGTAATAGTACCAAGCATGTGTGTAGTAGGCGTTAGCATAGGTGAAATAGGACTTAGCATGAGTGAAGTAGACGTTAACATGAATGAAATAGCCCTAAGCATGGGTGAATTAGGCCTTAGCATGGATGAAATAGGACTTAGCATGATTGATGTCGACATTAACATGAATGAAATAGCACCAATCATTGGTGAAGTAGGCCCCAGTATAAGTGAAATATGACTTAGTATAATTGAAGTAGACGTTAATATGAATGAAATAGTCCCAAGCATGGGTGAAGTAGGCCTTAGCGTGGGTGAAATAGGACTTAGCATGAGTGAAGTAGACGTTAACATGAATAAAATAGCACCAAGCATGGGTGAAGTAGGCCTCAGCATAAGTGAAATATGACTTAGCATGATTGAAGTAGACGTAACATGAATGAAATAGCACTAAGAATGGGTGAAGTAGTTGGCCCCAGTATAAGTGAAATATGACTTAGCATGATTGAAGTAGACATTAACATGAATGAAATAGCACCAAGCAAGGATGAAGTAGGCCTTAGCATGGGTGAAATAGGACTTACATGTTGTATGATTTAGGTAGACGTTAACATGAATGAAATAGCACTAAGCATGGGTAAAGTAGACCTCGGCATAAGTGAAATATGACTAAGCATGATTGAAGTAGACGTTAACATGAATGAAATAGCACCAAGCATGGGTGAAGTAGGCCTTAGAATGGCCTTAGCATGTAGACGTTAACATGAGTGAAATAGGTAAGCATGAGTGGAGCAGGCTTAGCACGGGTGAAACAGGACTTAGCATGAGGGGAGCAGATGTTAGTAGTGACGTTAACATGAGTGAAATAGAACTAGGTATGAGCGAAGTAGGCCTTGGCATGCGTGAAATGGGACTTAGCATTGGGGAAGTAGACGTTAACATGAGTGAAATAGGACTAAGCATGAGTGCAGTAAACCTTAGCATTAGTGAAAGGACCAAGCATGAATAAGGTAGACATTTATATGAAATAAGACTTTAAAGCGTGAGTGGAGTAGACATTATCATTAGTGAAATCCACCAACCTGGGGTCAAAGGCAAACACCTGGCATCCACGTCCAGCAAGTGATTCCTCAAAGTTCCATATATTTGCAATACTTTAAAAGTGAAAGTAATCAAATCATATCATTCTTCATAATCTAACAATGTCCTTAGATATGTTTTCTATAAGTCCCTTTCGAATATTTTAGAGAAAGGAAATTATTATAAGCGGCAAATATACGTATACATTTGAGTACATCTTTTTCAACCACGCATTTCCGAAATATAAAGTACTCGAATGATGATCATTTGATAACGTAATGCATTAATTGACTTAATTTATCTTGTACAAATGTTTTTTTAAATAACTAAATTTTTTTAAATTAAGCAATATTTTGGTTAATCTAGATTGAAAGAAATGTTTTTGATATTCATGTACCTTTGGATTACATGAGAACTAAACTTTTAAAATGCTTTATACAGGGTGTCAAAAACCGCTTCCCGGTCAACTCAACCCCAAGTCAACTCAATCCTTAGTTAACTCAACCCCAAGTCAACTCAACCCTTAGTCAAGTTGAACCCAAGTCATCTCAATCCTTGATCAATTCAACCCTTAGTCAACTCGACCCCAATGATTTTACTTGGTTTTAGTAGGTTAAATAATATGAAACAACAAAAAGTGTTTGGAGCTGTAGAAAGTATATTGTATAATTACTCATAATGTTACATAACATTACATAACAAAAGAAAAATTAGGGTTGACTTGAGGTTGAGTTGACTCGAGCAGCACGTGGTGGCCATACCAACTACTAACAATCGGCTGTAAATCTGTTAAATTTTATGATACAAAGCTGAAATTTTAAAATTAAAATTAATCTTTAAAATTAGATATGCCACACCATGTAATGTTTAGTACTTTTTGCTGTAGAGGGGGGGGGGTGCTGTTGTTTCTTGACGCCCTGTATTCACTACTAGTATAATAAAATGAAACAAAAGATAAATCATTTCTGTTGGTGCTAGATCCTTGTAAATTCTATCCCCATAAATGTTCAACATGTGATGAGAATCATAAAGCGATAAATTCAGCATTTCTATATTCATCATGTTGGCAGAATGAAATGTTACCTTCATCTTGGCAGATGTGACATAATTAAGTGTTTTCAATTGAGACATTTTTATTGTATGTCTTAACTCCTAGTTTTCTGGTTGAACTTAGTCTAAAACGGCTAAAGTTTTGACAAATAACAGCTTTCCTAACTCCCAAAGACAAAAGTTTTGTTGCAACTTCTGAAATTTTGAATCCAAATTTTTCAGGCAACCATTGGAAATGTCATTTCCTCCACCTTGTAATATAACTAGTTTTTATCTTAAATATGGTTGAACCTCCGTGAATAAATTTGTGTCTATTGAAAAAAATGTCAAAACTATTGACATTGAATTTAAAATCATCTTTTTATTCAATAAATGTTTCTAATCGAGGTACAAAATAATGTCCTAAAAGCAACACCTTCATACTGACATCATAAGTCAAGAATTAATTTAATCACTAACCGTGTAACAAAGTTTGATATTTAGTTCATAGATGTTTGAAACTTAGTTCATAATAATCTTGAATACTCTACATATTGCTTACAAATACAGAAATCTTAGGATAAATACTTCTGTTGTGCCGATATCATAATAACGGCGGAATGTTTTGGGAACTGGCAGCTTTGTTTACTGTAGACATTGAAGATGCATAATTTCTTGACATGTGAATATAAACAACTTTCGAATAAGACATCATCATGTAAAGCAAGAAGAAATTGTTCACTTCCATTTAATTTTTGTAAAATTAACTGAGGCTTTAAGATGGAAAATGTTCTTAATTAAGTAATTTATCAATATTACCTTGAACTCAATGACACAATCTTAAACTTCTATGGATGTTGCAGAATGCCAAAGTTAAACTAAAGATATCTTGCATTCAATTGAACATGTTTTATAGTAAGGACTCATGGTAGATTTGACAGGTAAATCACATAGCCAATTACAATGGCAAGAAGAGAAGTGGTTCCAAGAAAGGGGGAAGTCTAGTCTATTGAGTGACAGTATAACTTTGAATGGAGCCAAGAAGCTATCATATTCAACTAATGATGTTTTGTCTCGCTTCCATAGAATCATAAACATATAGGTATATGATGTCATTTTTGTAAAACAATAGGATATGATAAATTGATGGGTGATGATGTACAAATTGACCAAAAAACAGTATTTTGTAGGTGAAATTTACATTTTGATTTATGAAAAACATAGTAATGTAATTGTATAAAAAAGTTGCTAACATTTATTGTTTAAATATCATAAAACATGTATTTTGAAGAGATAATGACTTAATGGTTAAAATGAGTAGGGTAAAAAGTTCATGAGAATTGTCTGAACCGAGGTTCTGGGATTCAGTTACTAATCTTACCTGTCTCAAAAGTATCATAAATTGGATCTTTTGAACTTTTTAGAAAATAATGTGGGCAAAAATCTGGCATGTTGGTAATTAATTTTCATATAATTTTTCACACTTCTTTTCGGCCAATTCTTGTTAATGGGTTTTCAGGGGATTTTATTGGATAAGACCCCATATTTCGGCGGGACCCACATCAAAATTTGGGTATAAAAGGGGCAATTTTGTCTGAAATTCTCAGAACCTCATCGCATCATTCGAATGTTAACCGACGCTGTAAGTAGCTTACTAAATTTTCATTTTAAATTTTCAAAATAAATTTGCTTTTTACTTTAAAATCTGTCCTCATGTTTTATGAAATGATGGTGAGACAGCACTTCGCCACAATTGGTGGCAGTGGTGGGATATACTAGACTAGGTTATGCCTTGGTCATGGCCCAGCTTCGTGGCCGAATTATGTCTCGACTGTATTTTCGTTTAACATGATAACATTTTATTTTGATGGCGAATATTGCAAAGGGTAAAATGTTCTGGGTTGTTTATTTATTTACTTATTTGTTTATCTGTTTTGGATTCACTTGACCATGTTATATGATTGTTAAGTGAGTAAACAAGTGGTACCTTAGTAGATGACCAAATGGTAGATGAAACATAATCGTAAGTTTGTTTAAGGAAGTTGATCTTCAACGTTCTGAAGTAGTTTCAGAATTGAAGTGTTTTATCACATAGGTGTTTTAATGTATAGTATAATCAATTTGATTTTGATATTTTTGCCTTCATATTATAAGGAAGCTAAACAGAAATTGTAAGTGATTTTATCATTAATCATGTTGTTTAGTAACCCAATATTGTTTTTGCTGTTCAAAAACAATTGCACTATACTTACTATTACTTCCTTCATCAAAATTATCCTATTTATGTTTTCGTTTTCGCTATTTGAAGATGCTTTCAATGTGTACTGAATGTCTTAAATTCTTGTTGCATTAAAAGTTATACTGACATTGTTTATAGCTATCATTCGCTGTTTATGAATTTAGCATATTAACTATGGTAACTGCTATCTCAAGAAATAAACACTTCTGAATATTGATAGAAGAGGTTATTGTGACATTTAAAGGCCCTGGGTAAAGTTTAAAAATCTTGATCCATCATTCAAATATTATTCCTCATCACTTAAAAAGTTGTTTCAGACATATGTTGCAAACAGTTAAATTTAAAAAAAAGGTATTTAACATGTTTTGAATTGTTCTGTACCATTGCCTTCAATGAAAACTAGGATTTTAAAAGGCATTTCACATACCCTACTTTGGTAACATATTAGCCAAAGTGATCCTAACATTTCTCAGGGTCTTTAAAATTGTGAAATTTGGCAATAAACTCATGTAAACTAGTTCTGATCTTCCACGAAGTCAAAACAAAGTTTACAAAGTTAAAGAGACATTCTCTGGCCAGGAAGTTAAATGTTCATGGTTTGTCATAGAATGTCATTATAAAGTTCTCAGATCAAAAGTAAACCGCAGCCTTTATTCGACCTATTCCAACATTTTAATTATTTCATATTCAGCAATTAGGAAATTGTGAATTTTTTTTTATTAAGATTGAAGAATCATCAAACAGCTCTTTAAGCAAAGGTATTTCTAAATACTGAGGAGTTTACATTTGTTGTGGATATTTGTCATTAATTTTGAGTTATAAAAATGATAGTGTCACATCTATAATCCACGGAGGTTTTTTAAAGTTTTATAGCTTCATGTCAAAATAACCCAGAACATAACTACCATCTGTTGCAAGTAGTACCAATGAATACATTTTATCACTTTCGGAAGTCAGAAAATCATAAAAGCCAAGGTGAAGTATCCGGTCATGTGATGAGGTTTTCACTTAAGTAATTACTTGAACAACTCAGTCAAAACGGTGTCCATGTACCTCTGATGCTGTTACGTGAAAATTTCAAACTAAACAAGTAACATCAAAGCGGATGAAAAAGAAGACATGGACCTGAGATCAAATCCCTGCGAAAGATTTGATTGACGAATGGGACTATTGAATGCTACAATGTGTCCCATATCCTCTGATGTTGATACAGATAATCTAAAGACCATCAATGACGTCAGAGAAATGATCTGCAGTTGTCCACACACGCATTCACAACCATTCACGTTGGCAGTCACAGGTTATGCGTCTGTTTCTTCTTTGGGAGCGATTCCATGAAACAGACTGTCACTTTTGTCGCAAAACAGGAAGCGACATCAATTCCCGCTAATGTAAACACATGTTAAGAATTTCGAACTAGAGAGCGAAACATGTTAATTTATCAACGATCTTAAAATCGAAATAGAAGTGCTACAGGAAGTCTTATTTGAAGGCTTGGTCACATCCATTCCTACAGCTTTCAGTAAGTGCTTTAGATTGATATGGAAGTACTCTCGCCACAGCAATCATTGACAAAACCCGATGTAGGTGCTTCAATGGGAGCAGTCCCCAAGAAGAAGGCAATTTTCGAACCTACCCTGTCGCCATGGGGGAAGCGACGTCCAATTCCCAACAAACAGGATTGGCCTTCCACTAAAGATGCCATACGAGGGGGCAACTATAATACCCTTGAAAGTTGGAGCTCAATAAAGATGCCACCAAGAAGGCACACCAATAGTCCTGGACTGAAGAACCACAATTACCTGATCCGGAAGATGCCACCAAAGGCACACTAATATTCTTGGGCTGAGGAACGACAATTAGCTACGGGGTATGCCATCAAGAAGGCACACAAATATCCTTGGAAGGAGGATCAGCGCTTTCCTAAATCATTTGCCTTCAAGGAGGCGGAACAATACCCCTGGAAGGAGGAACAGCGCTTTCCTAATACAGTTGCCTACAAGGAGGCGGAACAATATTCTCGGAAGGAGGAACAGCGGTTTCCTAATACAGTTGTCTACAAGGAGGCGAAAAAAATCCTTGGAAAAGGTGTTACCGGATATACCAATATACCAAGAATCCTGGTGAGGCCCCTGCTGTCAGAGCTATATTAAGCCACTGAGACGCTATCCAGAACCGATGAGAAATACTGTGTGACTCGCAGGGAATTAATGGTTGTAATAAATGTACTAGCAATAAAACATTTTTCATCCCTACCTATATGTCGCCGAGTTCCCAATACACACGACCACGGAGCTCTGACATGACTACTTAAATTCAAGAACCCAGAGGGACAAACAACTCGATGGATTGAAGTCCAAAGATAGTTATAAAATAGAGCACAGAGCCGGAACAAAGCATGGCAATTCGGATGAGTTATCCCGAAGGCCCATGATGTAATCAATGCAGTGACAAAGAAATCGAGGATGTACTCACGATTTTTCTAGTGAAAACAATGGGTTGATGACAATCTTTGGTGTGGCAAATATAACTTGCACTTTAAACATATTCCGAGATGATCCCGATTATCAAGGGACTGCTGTTATTACAATGTTTTATTGTAGTTAAATATCGACAAACCCTCATTGCTGGGACCTTATAATTTGATTGAGAACACGTCTTCCAAGCAGACCCTCTTGTGCCAAAACATTACACAACCAGCACGAATGTGTAAATTATGTGTAATATAAACATAACCATGTAGCTGTAGAATCCAGAATAATGACAGGAATGAGGTGAAAGCTGCATTTTGTGAACATGTCACAAGCTAGTGAGTTTAGTAGTACACTGTATTGATTTAACTGAATTTGAACAACACTGGATAATCGAAAATTTCCAGATAATCTTCATTGTTATTGCTCTCATTCTTGGACTGTATGTGGTGAGAAAAGTAAGAGTTCACAAAAAGCCATCACTTGTCTCAGGAATATATTCTTAAGAAGACATAAGCCTGAACAAGGATGGGCAAAAAGGATGAGACAAACCAAGGACTGGAATGAGACTTAAACACTTATTATACTCTAATTTACTGTATTATACTGTATACTGTATACTTGTATTATACTGTATACTGTATTATACTGTGTTTTATTTTTACTGTATTTTATGTACTTTGCGAACGGGTGTTGAACCTTTGAATTGCCTATGGACTTCGAGACTGGATTGTATCTACCCCACATCATTTGAGGCTGAATACTCTATCTTTTATGAGTACTAGTATCTACAACTATTTTTGATGTTACGAGTATTGGCTATCACTTTTTCAATTTTTTCTTCAACATGTATTGTAATGACTTCAGTATGAATGAAATGTCCCTTGGTGTTCTGGTCCTGGATTGTGATATTGGTTCTCGATTGGAGGGGGGAGGGGGATGTTAGACATTGTTTCTTTTCACGTTAGATCAGGTCTTGGGATTTATGGGGTCTACTTTTTTTATGACAGATTTACACTTACGGTTTGCTTTTCTTGTTGGGTTTCCTTAAAAATTTTAGTCACCCTTCCCTTTTGGCATTTGTGCTTTTATATTTATATATTATATTATACTCAATATTATACTAAATTATATAATTTACAACCACTATAACCACATAAAGAACTGGGCTAGTTAACTTGTTAACAAAGATAACAAATGAAAAATATGCACACAATACATTGAAATTTGTTTCAAATTAAAAATACTAGGCATGTCCAAATATACTTAAGCTATTAATATGTAATCACTGGAACAAAATGTTAGCGCTTTTCTTAGATCCTTTTTATTGTTTGAGAACAAACAAATTTGTTAGGGGGGAGGAATGTGACAAAGTTTGATTTTTAGTTTATAGATGTTTGAAAGGTCATAATAATCTTGAATACTATAAATATTGCTTACAAATACAGAAATCTTAGGATAAATACTTCTGTTGTGCTGATATCATCATAACGGCGGAATGTTTTGGGAACTGGTAGCTTTGTTTACTGTAGACATTGAAGATGCATCATATCTTGGCATGTGAATATAAACAACTTTCGAATAAGACATCATCATGTTAAACAAGAAGAAATTGTTCACTTCCATTTAATTTTTGTAAAATTAACCGAGGCTTCTAATGTGGAAAATGTTATTAATTTAGTCATTTATCAATATTACCTTGAACTCAATGACACAATCTTAAACTTCTATGGATGTTGCAGAATGCCAAAGTTAAACTTAGATAAAGATATCTTGCATTCAATTGAACATGTTTTATAGTAACTGATGGTAGATTTGACAGGTAAATCACATAGCCAATGGCAAGAAGTGGTTCCAAGAAAGGCGGGAGTCTAGTCTATTGAGCGACAGTATAACTTTGAATGGAGCCAAGAAGCTATCATATTCAATTAATGATGTTTTGTCTCGCTTCAAAGATTCATAAACATATTGGTATATGATGTCATTTTTGTTAAACAATAGGATATGATAAATTGATGGGTGATGATGTACAAATTGACCAATTTCGGCCAATTCTTGCTAATGGGTCTTTAGGTGATTTTATTGGATAAGACCCCATATTTCAGCGGAATCCACATGTGGGTATAAAAGGGGCAATTTTGTCTGAAATCCTCAGAACCTCATCGCATCATTCGAATGTTAACCGACGCTGTAAGTAGCTTACTAAATTTTCATTTTAAATATTCAAAATAAATTTGCTTTTTACTTTAAAATTTGTTCTCATGTTTTATGAAATGATAGTGAGACGGCACTTTGCTACAACCGTGTTATATTTTTCCTGGAGTCTTAAAATTCTGCATGTGTTTAAATTTTTTATTTGAAAACGTGTCTAACAGAACTTATGTCTTAAATGTACTGGCCAAAAGTGAGGTGCCAGGGAAAAGTTCCTAGCTATCAGCTTCCAACCCAATTTATCCAAGGAATCCTATGAGTTCCAAAAAGCTGTCATGATACTTACAGACGAGAACCATAACATACCTCCTGCTCTGAGCCACTTCCCTACACTTGAGTTAATGAGTTAAAGAGAGAATCAGATATAGCGAGTAGGCTAAACAAAAAGTTTCAATTTTAGAATATTTTTGGTTCATGTCATTCCTTGTCGTGTCTATTTTCTAAAAATCACAAAAAATATATTTTATTCAAGGAAAACTAAAGATTTTTTCAATAATGTATTATTTTCTGGTTACCATTCTTATTATTTCGGGGAATTTAAACATTTTTCACCTGTTTTTGCACTTTGAATCATTAATAACTACACCAATTTGTAACATTAAGAACCTTTTGGGAGATATTGTATTTGAACTTGTAAGAAATAGATTGGTAGGTCAATTGCACAAGTTGCTTGTAATTTTGTCACCCCCTATAGGTCTGATTCTACCTTTAATTTCTTGCTTATTTTCAACCGACTTTCTTATTTTTTCAAAACTAAACTATTTTCAATTGTCTGCTATGCGTTGGTGTAAATTATTACATAATAATCTTATTTGAAATAAATTAACAATTTCTAACAGAAGTTCTTCAAAATTAAATTGAAACGTTTCACATGGCACATTTCGATGTCATTGGGTAGAACATTTGTGGTTAAGAATGAATAAAGATCATCTTATAAACAATGCAACTAATTGCAATACAATAATGCAATACAATACAATGAAATAGAATATTGTACTGTAGTGTGCATTGTAATGAACTGTACTGTACTGTATTGTACTATACTAATACTATACAATACAATACAATGCATTGCAATACAATACAATGCAATACAATACAAAATAATAAAAAACAATACGATATTATACAATATGATACTATTCAATACAATGTAAGATATTCAAATCATACCCAAATGAGTATACGATGCATTGGGATTTTGGTTGGTATGTTTTGTCCATGCAGGTAAGGTGAATGCCTTCACCATAACTGCTTTTGCTCGTGCTTCCAACAGCTTCAACCGCTGTACAATTGTACGTCTTCTTTGAAACAAATCTGAAATTAGTTCCCCTTCGTCAGTGTATACCTGGTCATGTAAATGATGAGTCGGGAATGGGTCAAGGTGTCGACTCAAAATCTATAAAACGGCGATTATGACGTAGTGGGCAGATAATTATATCTGCCCGTGCGTAGCGGGACGTAAAGCTATATCTGCCCGGTGATGAAAATATAAGTTTTTACAAACCGGCTTAATGTACCTTTTACACGTCCAAGTATGGGATAAATTATTTTACCTTTAAATAATTATTCATATTTCTTATGAATGCCATATTTTGCCATTCGGGCAGTCAAATTATGAAAACAATTGATATGAAAGAATGTACCTACATGTACATCTGCATTTTTAATTTTTAAAAATAGCAAAGTTAAATTGTTTTTAGTGATTTTTCAGAAAAGGTGACTGTTTACTGTTAAGATGACTGTTTACTGTTATTATCATACCGAACGAATTTCCGTCTGTCTCTTCGTATGTCCGGGCGATACCTCAAATACCAATTGACGGTTTTCATTCAGATTTTGGAGGTTTATGCTTTGTGGGTGTCGAAGCTCTGTTCGAGAAGGAATTTTCAATATGGGCGCTCATTTCAAAATGGCCGACATTTTTGATATGCTTATAAATCAATGAAGAGTAGGACCATAAATTGATTGGACCTCCTTCAATTTTACACTGGTTTTAAAAATGAGAGGCAGAAATAATTCCTAGATGATATGTCGCATTCTTCCATTGCCCGTATGTTAACCAGGGCGACCGCATCGTCAGCCCGAGCTGCCTTTCGCAACTCTCTGACACATGTGCAAATTCTAAGATCTGATTATTTATCAATGATTCCTCGTTTTCAATCCCGGGTTTTCAATGCCCGTTAGATGTTAATAAATTGAGATTTTTCAAATATGTTTTCATTAAACAGCCTGGAAAAATAACTAATTTTCGATTCCAAGGAATCACGTGTAACCCGTCAAAACTCATTTAAACGTTTTAAAATTTGCATTTAAAATGTATCACTTTGATGTTGTGTGAGCAAAAATATTTAGACTAATATTTAGACAATTACACAGCCTGGATATTCTAATCCGTTGTGAAAGCCCATTTGTTTTTTCCTCCACAGGATGTTTCTACGGAAGTTTATTTTTTTATCTTTGTGTTTAGATGCTTGACGCTCCATGAAATGAATGAACTTTGTGATGGACTACAAGTTATTGTATAGTTTAACAGGAACAATTATTTTTTTAACCAAGGTAGACTTCTTAATTGTTACTTTATTTTCATTTTAGGTTTCTTTTATTAAATTGCGTTAATTGCGTTTCAGAAGTCTAATGAATATTTATTTACAATTATTAATACAATAAATGAATTTTATTTTCAATTTATAATACAATAAATGGACGCTGATATCTCAAAAATTATCCTGACTTCCTATACTTTGATGTAAATCAATCGAACCCCTATATGAACATGAACATTTTGATATATAACACCATGGGGGGTAAGTGTGTTTTATAGTCGGTCACAAACGTTCAGAATTTTCGAATTTCGTGTTGGATTACGGTACTCACACCTCACTGGCGGATTAGGGGGGGGGGGGGGGGGGGGGCTGAGGTCCCCCTTTGGGTGGGCCCAAAAAAAAAAATCGGGCCCAAAAAAAAATTTGGCATAAAAGGCCTTAAGGCCCCAAAGAGTGGGCCTTTTTATCATGACTGGGCCTTGTAAGGCCTTTTTTTAATTCCAGGCCTTTTGAAGAAAATGGGCCTCAAAATTTGGGCTCACTTTGGGGTTTTATGGGCCCACTTTTTTTTCTGCGCAAGCGCGGAAGTTTTTTTCTCTGACCTGAAATTTGCCCCCCCCCCCCTTGTTGGTTCCCAGATCCGCCCCTGCACCAATAATTTGGGCCACTTTGAAAACCAGCTGCAATCTTGAAACGTCGGTCTCGACCAAAGCTCCTGCGTCGCCAAGTAAACTTTGAAACAAATCCTTCCACTGATATTTGAGTAATCACAGATTGTACTTTTTACGAAAATGGCAGGCATTTTGAAATTCAGCGACCATCATGAAAATTTCTTCCTCGGCAAAGCTTCTCTGTCCCTTGGCATCTTTTATGGTGACCTCTTTGTGCTCTTTCCCTTATTATCCCATCGAACGAAGTTCGGAGGGATATAGGGAACGCCTCCGTCCGTCCGTCCGTCCGTCCGTCCGTCCGTCCGTCCGTCCGTCCGTCCGTCCGTACATACGTCCGTCCGTCCGACGGACGGACGGACAGACGGACGGACGGAGGGCTTCACTATATCCCTAACGAACTTCGTTCGTTGGGATAATAACGAGGAACCCTTCTTCTTATAAAGGCAATTAAATCAAGGTTCAAAAACTCCCAAAAGTAGCCCTAACACCATTTCATCATCAGCACGTCATAAACTCGACGATATCAAAAATTTTCCCATTGGTTTACATGGGAATGATGATTCATCAAGTGAAATTCATCAAGGTCATCATTATTTTTTTGTAATTGAGGGAAAAATTTGGAGGTATTGGAAATGAGGTCAAGTTACGTTTCCATCAATATTATAAGTTATTTCATCGCAGGTTAAGTAAATAAAAATTCAAACATAAAGAGGCTTTAACACGTAGTTCAATGGGGGGGCTAAGGTTGCCAAACTTATGGAGGGGACTGTATGTATAACTCGTGGATATCGCCCAGACATGGTCGTGAAAGCTTACGATATCACCCATCTTATTAGTGGCTGGTCGATATCCATCTACGATAAAAAACAGTATCCCTCAAAAAACAAAGGATGTTCTCTCTATATATCTATGGGTAATATGTATTCGATGCTTTTAAAAGATAAGACAATGACTTGACCTACTCGATAAATAACAGTTCAGCTTCTTGCCAAGTGAGTTCAATCTTGTTTCCTTCCGAACGTCTATATACCACCTGCTGAAATAAAAATGCAACCATCTTTCTTTATCTTGCAAAAGATACAGAGGTTCTTGTATCTTTGCAAAATCTTTCATTCATGATGAACTTTGATAAATTCTTCTTTTTATGGAGTCGAAGACGAGATAGGGTAACATTCAAAACGAAAATAAGGAACCAAGCACTAATATTGAAGAACATACATTAAAATATTGCCTGAGAATGTCATACAACAGAGGGATCACCGGGCATAATATTAAAAAAGTAGGACAGGACATTTCGATTTTCTCTTTTTAAAGCTGTACAATCAAGTACTTCATTGAGACTGAATTTTAAAGAAAATGTCCAAATTAGATGTAAAAGTTTGAAACTATGTTATTTTTTCAACAATATTCTTCCCAAAACTTTGTTGAAATTACATTTAAACAGCGCTACAAATTAATGCAACATGTACTGTAAACATCTAAAAATTTGTTCAAAATTGATAAAGGAAACGTACCTGTGTCGGTCGACCCATCCAATACATGTAGAACGACAGTATAAAGGAAACCATGAAGATGAAAGAAAATCCCCAGAAAAAGTATCGCACAGACATAATTTCACTATGCGAAATGCTAGTTAAAATTGATGTACTATATTATGTATACTATGTGTTTTCAGCTAAGTTCATCCGCGAGGCCATTTTGCAATGTGCTTTTGAATGGGTGCCAATCAATGTTGATTGACTATGCCATTTTCAAAAGAGGGAATAATGTATTGACTATCAAAGTCATAGCTGGAATAAAAAAAAACAGGCGTGATAAAATTAAATTGTTATTTACAGGGTGGTCCAGAAAAATGGGACACTCGTATTTCAAAAATAAATATTTATTCTCTTGATGAAAACATGTCATATTATATACCATTGGATAGGGAATTCACTATCTTTAATTTGGTATATCATAAGTTCAAATTAATTATAATGTCTGTCAACCAGCGTCCATAATATAAATGATGTCATTTTGATTTCAAAACGGGTTTTCCAAAACTTGCAAAATCTAAGTTTTTTGTCAGCTTTATTTACATAAACAGTTCACCATTTTAATCAATTGTTGCATCCAATTTTGGCCTAAACTGGTCAAAAGCATCATTGATATGCTGTTGAGACAATGTATTTCACATCTCAACATTTCTTTCCTTAATAAGGGACTGAGTAGATTTAAGGGGTTCATGATAAACCAATTCTGTTAGTTCTCCCAATATATTGTCGTTGCAAACGTTAATATCGGATGATCCAATTTTAATAACAATTAAATAACAATTTTTTTAAAATGTTGAACTTATTTGCTCAATTAGAGGATCTTCTTTTTCTGATTTTTATCGTATGAAAAGATTATTCAACAAGGGGTCTTAAACATCTTCAAAAGTAGAATGGTATTGAAAGTCTAGTTTTGAAGATATCAATTTTCGATGACCAAAGCATGCTGAAAACGACGGATAGCATGAGTTTTCCCTATGGGAAAATAACATGGGAAATTTGTTAGAATTTAGTGTAGAAGAAACTTTTGATATATTTAAATTGAGAAAAACAAGATCCTCTTTTTTAGAAAATAAGCCTTATATTTTCAAAAAAGTGACAAGGTGGGGTCCTAATCCATAATTTTTCAGAGAGTTGGATTGACATTTTACTATCATGGGGACTTCACTTTAGAGAAGACATATTGTTTTAATAAAAAACACTGTATTTATATCCAGAAACTACTCATGGTGAAAGATATGACTGTTTAAAATTACTTGCCATACTGCACATGGACTTTTGTCAATAAAGGAACCATGAACCATTCAGATGACAGTCAGTCCAAAATAGGTAAGTTTGTATAACACAACAAAAAACAAAAACTTGCTGCTAGTGTTATGGGTTATCATAGGTATAAAATACAAATTAAATCAGCTATTCCCTCCTCTATTTAATTGTTCAATGACTGGTCTCTTTATATAATATGGCAAAATGCCGCGAAATAAAATCCTCGCTGTAATGGACACCTACAAACAGTGAACATTTTTCTTCGGCAAAAAATGTTCACTAGACACAGGTTTTAGTGTATTGTAATTTAATAATTTATATTAGTTTGCTCTCCAAATTGGAGGAAATAAAGAATCATATCTATCAAATCATATCATATCATATGTACATGTAACTGATAAGTTAGGAAAGTAAGATACGCTCCCCTCCATAAGTTTGACAATCTTAGCTCCCAAATTGAACAACGTGTTAAAGCCTCTTTACGTTTGAATTTTTATTTACTTAACCTGCGATGGAATACCTTTTAATATTGATTGAAACGTAACTTGACTTTATTTCCAATACCTCCAAATTTTGTCAATTTTTTCCCTCAATTACAATAGGTCGAAAATTGATGATAAATTTGATGAATTCTTGAAAGTTGTCATTCCCATGTAATCCAATGGGAAATTGAGGGTTCGGGGCAAATCAGAAATCAGGATGTCTTCTCCGTAAAATATACAGCAAAAAAATATTTATAGAAAATAGAATTGTCTAACTTTTTTGTACACTAAGTGTTTAGTTTATTTGATGAATACTAAAGTTACAGCGCTTCAAAGTTATTTTCGAAAATTATTTTTCGCCCCCTGTGTTATTTCAATGGGAGAGGTTTTTAAAAAACAATTTTGACTTCAAAGCCCTATAACTTTGTTGAATCTGAAGAAACATATACTTTTTTCTGTTAAATAAAGTTAGCAAATTCAATTGCCTGCCTAACTCGTATTTTTGCAAGGACTCGGATGGATGTATATTCTGTCATATGACTTGCGGCAAACCTACCGTTTCCCATTGGTTAACATGGGAATGTCGGTTTTCAAAAATTCATCAAATTTATCATCAATCTTCGACTTATTGTAATTGAGGAAAAAAATTTGAAAATTTGGAGGTATTGAAAATAAAGTAAAATTACGTTTCCATCAATAGTATAAGTATTTTCATCGAAGGTTAAGTAAATAAAAATTCAAAGGTAAAGAGGCTTTAACACGTAGTTCGAAGGGGGGCTAAGGTTGCCAAACTTATACAAGAACACAAATGTGTACAAAATGTCCCCACCTATGGGTGATCCCATCAAATGGTTATCCTAAAAATGAGTAGACAAGACTTTAACGACACAATTTGAGGATGGAAAATCCAATATGGCCACCTTAAAATTTACCCAGAATGCCCAAAAAACTAATCTGTTCTAGATTTTCATACTAAGATCTAGATCTAGATTCTGAAAATTTGAAATTGATCTACCAAACGGTTCACCTGGAAATGTGTAGACAAAACTTTACAAACAAGATTTTAGGACAGAAATCCAAAATGGCTGCCTTGACATTTACCCAGAATGCCCAAAAACTAATCAGATCTAGATTTTCATACTAAGAATCATCCCTGAAAATTTGAAATTGATCTACCTAACGGTTCACCTAAAAACGCGTAGACAAGACTTTACGGGCAAGATTTTAAGACGGAAAATCCAAAATGGCTGCCTTGACATTTATCCTGAATGCATAAAAACTAATGAGATCTAGATTTTCATACTAAGAATCATCCCTGAAAATTTGAAATTGATCTACCAAACAGTTCACCTGGAAATGTGTAGACAATACTTTACAGACAAGATTTTAGGACAGAAAATCCAAAATGGCTGCCTTGACATTTACCCAGAATGCCCAAAAACTAATCAGATCTAGATTTTTATACTAAGAATCATCCCTGAAAACTTGAAATTGATCTACCAAACGGTTCACCTAAAAACGCGTAGACAAGACCTTACGGGCAAGATTTTAAGACGGAAAATCCAAAATGGCTGCCTTGACATTTATCCAGAATGCATAAAAACTAATGAGATCTAGATTTTCATACTGAGAATCATCCCTGAAAATTTCAAATTGATCTACCAAACGGTTCACCTGGAAATGCGTAAACAAGACTTTACAGACAAGATTTGAGGACGGAAAATCCAAAATGGCTGCCTTGACATTTACCCAGAATGCCCAAAAACTAATCAGATCTAGATTTTCATACTGAGAATCATCCCTGAAAATTTGAAATTGATCTACCAAACGGTTCACCTGAAAATGCGTAGACAAGACTTTACTGACAAGATTTTAGGATGGAAAATCCAAAATGGCTGCCTTGACATTTACCAAGAATGCCCAAAAACTAATCAGATCTAGATTTTCATACTAAGAATCATCCCTGAAAATTTGAAATTGATCCACCAAATGGTTCACCTGAAAACGTGTAGACAAGACTTTACACATGAGATTTTAGGACCGAAAAATCCAAAATGGCCGACAATAAAAAAGTGATTATGAGTTTTTGCTAATTTCTTTCAACAAAATTATCACATATAACTACTGTTAACAATAACATAGGCTTTTACAACAAAGTACACCTGAAATTATTTATAAAGCTACTAAATAGTTTAAGTATGAAAACTGAATAACACCATTCAATATGATACAAAGTATTATCGTGCGCTAACTTTTCTTAAAACATTCAAAATGGCTGACATGACTGAGCTTACAGGTCCAAAACCTAATCAGATCTAGAATGAAGTGAGCTGAACAAGATGTTAAAGTTTTAAAAGCAACTGTGAAGCCGTTTTTCTTAAAGTTTGCAGACAAGGATTTTAGCATTTGACTTCAAAATGGCCGACAGGAAGTTGGTATCGAGTTAATTTTTTTTCATCCACATCTGTATGCACTCATAAGTTATCCCTGAAAATTTGAAGGTGATATCTGTAGCGGTTTTAAATAAAACTCCCGGACGTACGGACAGACGGACAGACAGACGGACAGACAGACGGACAGACAGACGGACGGACGGACGCGCCTAGGCCGACAATATGGCCCCACACTTTGTGGTGGGGACATAAAAAGGGAATGTAGGTGTTCACTAGAGAGATGTGTTCACTAACACATGTTTTACTGTATACAGGGTGTCTCAAAAATGTATACTATACTATACTTAGCTCAGTTAAAATGCAACATGATATAGACCAAATAGAACAATGGGCAGAAAGATGGAAAGTTACTTTTAATGCTGCCAAGTCAAAACTTCTGATAATCTCACTTAAACAAAATAAATTTAATTATCCTGATATAAAGTTAAACAACTCTGTAATTCAAACGGTTGATCACCATACCCATCTAGGACTTACAATTCAATCAAATATGAGCTGGCACCTTCATATTAACAATATTGTTAAGAAAGCAAATATGAGACTTGGCCTCCTTAAAAGGAGCTCATTTAAATACAATTTAAATCAAAATGAACTAGAAACATTATACTTTTCAATGGTTCGATCAGTACTTGAATATGGTGACGTCCTTTATAATTATTGTCATTTATTCCAAAGTAAATCATTAGAAAACATCCAAAGAGAAGCTGCTATATTATGTTCACATGCATATAGACATACTAAATATAATGACATTTTGAATGAACTTGGCTGGGACTCACTCAAAACCAGAAGACAATTACATATATTACCACCATTTTCCATAAAATGGTTTATCAAAATGCCCCGCTTTATTTGACTGACCTCTTAACGCCTCTCTCCCAAAAG